TTTGACATTAGGAATGATGAGCTATATGTATAAATAAATGAAGTATGAACAGCTATCAAAAGCCGTGATAAAGAAGAATGGCGACGATACGCCAAGAGACGAGACTTTCTTGTTCCTACTATCTCTTTCTGTTTTTATTATCGTGTACTACATGTGCTTATGGTTAAATCAATTGAATTTATAAAATTATCAACCACCTAAAAATATTATCGATACACAATTATGTTCTGATAGATAAAAGTTATCTTTATTGTTTCTGGTTTACGCTGTTCAACTTCAGAACATCACATGCACGCATCATATACCTAGACAGAGAAAACACTTCTCATACAATTTCTTCTCTGTCGGCGCCCACCACCTTTATTCACACGCCAGTTGTTTATATAGTTCAATGCTCATGAGACATTCAAAGATTTATAATGACTTTTAAATGCGTAAAAGAAGAGGTTGAAGAAAACGATTTCTGTAGCAAACTTTTTTTCTGCTCGTGTATGCAACGTCGCATCGCGTCATGGCATACGGCCGAATTGAAACAGTGCGAAGCAGAGTTTTCAATTTTGCCTCTCAACCGTGTGACGTGTCCCATCTCCGCATAACTGTCCGCAGATAACAGAAACGAAAATGAGAATTCACGGCGAATTACTAGTACATAATATCGATCGGGCAAGATGAGACTTCATCTCACGGTCTCTCTTTCGGCCTCTTTTTTCCTCTCGTTCCCTCTAAAGCGGTTTTCCATGGTGACAACACGGGGCCATTTTTAAAGAATCGGCGCGGCAAGAGCGATATTTACGCGTCGTCCGGCGACTGCTCCTACACGATCGGTTATTTATAAAGCTATTCACGATAATCAATAACCTATGCCGTCCTCCCCGGCCTCTCCTTTCTCTGTGTGCGACGAAAATTCACTAACACCTCGGAACACTTGTGCAAAACCTCCTCTTCGTCGGTCGTGGGAAAGGGTGAGGCTCGTGAAAACAGAGCGAATATTTATCAAGGACTGACAACGCGCTTCGAAACGCCCCACGAATTCGTGCCGAACGTGCACGTATTGAAAATTTCACAATTACTTTCTGCGAAATAGAATCGCGTCGTTCGTTTGGAATCGTGTCTAGGGAAAATGTTTATTAAACAACTCCAAGGATTCCCGAGGGTTGAACAGTGATTTAAAGGTGATGCACTGATTGCGAACACCATGAACCCATTTAACGCGGGTGATGCAATCAACGTAACCGGTTTATATGCTTACGATCTAATGTTTATATAAAAATTATTCTCGCATCGCTATATTTTCGAAAAGCAACTGAAGAAGTATGTAATCTCCATGAAACATACTTTAAATTCAATTTTTTTGAAAGTACATTTGTTTATTACGTCATCATAACAATATTCACGTGTAAAGTTACTTTTGATGAAATTTCTATCGGATTTAAATTTTACTTTGAACCATATCTATTAGAAACCAAACAAACGAGAATGAAATCGTGCGTTTGAACATCCGTCGCGGACAATGGTAGATACACATTGTATGTACACATAGGTAGCTACTTTCGATAAGACTCGTGCGATCGCGAAATACGGAGAACGAATAGGGGCGCGAAATATCGGAGGAAAAGTTTCGTATCGGTTGAAAACTATACATCCCTCCTCCGGTCCTCGCATCGCTAACGAAGCGACGAATGCGATTCGAAAGTGACGAAGTTTGTTTGATCACGAGGGCAGCGAATGCAAGTTTCTGACTCACTCGCTCGTAACCGACCTAAAATTATGAATCTCGTCCTTTTTGTATCACTAATCCGTTCGCGATGCATATAAAAGCCGCGAACAAGAATGATACACAAGAATAACTGCAACCCTAACGAGACAAGACGAGCGTTATTTCCTGTCAGCGAAAAATATTCCAGTTCGTAACAATCATATACACAGTTATCTGCACTATACGTATGTACGTACATGCTTACCGTGTCGCGTCCGAGATACCCAAGCGCGCGTGTATATATCACTGGCAAAGCGTAACGAAGCGAAAAAGGAACACGACAAGATGTTGGTTTTTTCTTTTTTCCTCCTTGTCCACCTCCCACTGTCTCATCTCACCCCTACGGTTTTTCTTCTATATGTATGTCGTGCTTATTCCTCTTTTTTATTCTCTCCCCGACGCGACGTGTTTGTTTTTCATTTCACCCCTGTAGCCCATTTGTCGCCATGAAAGGATCGCGACTACCCAGTATAATGACCGCCCGACAATGGAATTTGATGGTTTGACGCTTAAATGGTATAGGTATGTATGTACGTATAATTCGTAGACCGAGTTTACGACTGGGAATGTTCGCCTGAAGTTCCATAAAGAGGAGACAAGAACTCAGACTCGGGAACGTATCAAACCGGGAGGATCCACGTCTCGCGCACCTTTTCCACTGCTCGCTCCTTTGCGTCATTTTCCTTTTATGACGCCCTTTTATATTTCGTTCTGACGTTACATTACTCGTTCCCAGGACAGGTAGCAGCCGGTGGTAGCGTAGCATTTATTTTTCTATTGTACTGCGTTACTTCAGCACTATCTCACCCCCTTTCCTCCCTCTATTTTCTATTTTTCCGCTAGCAGGTCCGTTTACATCGGAACAGTATTTTATCGCATCGATACGACGTGAATATGGACCGACTTCTCGGAGGAGTATATATGTATAAGGAGTGTATTATGTACGTTACGTATCAGAGTCTCGCAGAATTAAATCGTGCTACGAGATCTCCACGATTTTCTCAACACTTCATGAAATCATGAGGATACCACAGTTTCGTGATTTAATCATCAACTACGCAAAAGTTCGTTTAAAATGCTATTTTCTTCCTCAAGACATTTATAATTGTAGAGTAGAGAACAAGTTTAGGTAAAGTTACGTAGCCAATCGAACGAGGGAATCAGAAGACCGCGATTCAATCGAAGAAAACCAATACCTGTAACTGATCGGTGAAATACTTCAACTTTTCAACGAGTTCTGTTTCGTTCGTTTTTTATTAATTTAACTTCTCAGCGTACGAACGAAAGGCGTCGAACGCAAATGCAAACGCAAACCTTTGCGAAGAGGGAGGAATGAAGAAATAAAAATTTCTATCCATTTTCAAAATAGTTATGCTCGTATGCGTTCACGTATGTGTTTTTAAGAATCAACTGTTTTGGTTGAGAAAACCTCTCGCGCTGTTAGGTGGTTCGTTAATTAACGCGATTCCTTTTAAAACGCGCGTGGCCGTACCGTTCCGAGATCTTTAAACCGCGAGGAAAATCGGTCCCCATTGATAAGGAAACGAGGTAACCCGCATCTGTTCGAGCAAGCGACACCTCTATCAAAAGCATCATCCCCCTTCTGAATCCGCTGGAAATCCGCTGTACAATCATGTCGCGCTTCTTTGATCCTCGACGCGCAGCCGGTGAAAGCGAACGAATACAAAACGTAGGTTTTAATCATTTCGTGTGTATGTACCTCTTCCCCGCGTATGTATCTACGTACACAAAACGCCCCTAACGAGACGAGGTAAGCAGAGACCGCAAACTGCCTAAGGACCTACTTCATACCCTCGACCGAGAAGTATATTTCTTGCACTCTCACGATGTTCGGTGACATCGTGAAAGTCCTCCAGAAACAATTAACACTTACGGCAGAAACGTAGCATACGTGAACCAACGAAATTTCAATCCTCTCTTCTTTCCTGTCCGTCTACTGTTCTCCATGCTGATTCTCCATGATGAATTAAACTAATTCCCCTCCCCTCCATCCCCCCTCAATTCGTACATCGCAATTAAGTGTATGCATTTGCTATCAGGTGCGTGAAAAACAAGCTCGTCGATGTAAGAAAAGAAATTTATGTTATTCCGCGGGAACTCAGTAAGACAACTAGCTCACGCGATTGAGAGAACTAATAGGTATTGCTAAAATTTCGTTTACAACTCATGCAAATGAAATGTAAACGCGTGATTCGAAGTTGGATCGAACATCATTGCTTGCAAGGATTAAAGTTCATGTTCTGAGCCAGCGGTGATTATCGAAACGCTTCGAGATATGCTCCAGAGAGAGGTGACGGAATTGCATTACGATAGGTCGAAAGTCGAGGAAGAATGGTACAAAAGAACCGTGGCCACTTCTCTTGGAAAAAGGAGGACACCGACTGCAAACGCATCTGGGCTTCTACGATAATAATTTCCACCCTCGAATGAGATCCGTCGTTCTTCCTATTCTTTTCTTTTTTATAATCAATCGATAGCCGATCGATGATTTGTTGGTTTGACAAGTAGTTCCACGGAATACTATACGTACGTACGGAGCGGTGGTTTAAGTTTCGAACTTCGCCAAAGAAGTGTTCCGCCTTCATCGAGGTACAGTGCGATCGACGTATGAGTTCGTCTATTCTAGCACAAACGATACCAAGCAACAACAAGTTTCACCAAGAAACTTCTTTCTGAAGCCGCACCAAAAACCACATATTAAAATCATAACAGCGGGCATAACGGAACGAAGACGAAAAAACGAAAAAGCATGTCTTTTACACTTACGACCACAATGATCAAACAGTGTTTTCGTTCCGAATGGGCACACAGAAGAACAATATCACAACAAAAAGCGCAACAAAGTATCGAAGACGAAGAAATGGAAACAAGAAAATATCTTGTAGGCACGATGACCGATGAGCGCTTTCGATTCGAAAACGAGCACACGAAACCGCACAAATTATTAACAAGCGATCCCGATATCGCTTCCAGTTTGGATTCCGGTATCCACGAAGGTACAGATTCATCTCGCTCCTGTGGGACCGCGATCTATGTATCTTAACCGATAGGCGGACACGTTTCGCTCGAGGAGCACACAAGTGGACGAAGCGTAATGAACGCGAACAGTTTGTAGCTGAAGGAAGAGCGAGAACGCCGGGACCAACGAGTGACGATTGGTGAATGCGAGTAAGAATCAATTCGTAACGAATGTACCACGGATATGATAATGAATCTCGCGTACCTGAGATCGGTTGATCGGTGGTGCAGGGCGCGGCGGCATGGTCCCGTCGCAACAAAGCGCCGTTCGACGAGCACTGAGCAGCTATTCTGCGCCAACAGGGTTGCGTCGACGTCGAAAAGACGTGAACGGTTGCCTCCCTCCTCCCTCCAACCCTTCTCGTTCCCATCCTCCTCCCTCCTCCCACCATTCCATACTACCGACGCCGCTCTTCAAGGTACTCTCACACGTATCACCGTCCCTTTCCTCCCGTTTCTATCTTACTCGCACCGCTACCCCGACCTGAATTTGTTCGCACTCTTTCCCGCTCTTGCTCGTTGTCCCTACATTCGACTCGGTGTGTTACCTCCTCGAGGCGAGCACCACCACATCGACGTGGCACATGCGCGGACTTTACCCTCCCCTGTCCGACAAAACTCACCCCTTCGCAGAGCTGCCAGAATTGAGAAAAACGGACGGTGGGAAAAAGGAAGAGACCACCGGGGAGAGAAAAGAGAGAAGAAATCCGGAGGGCGGTGTTTTCTGAAAAACGTATGTTCCCTTTCCCTCTGTCCTATTGCTACCCCTATCTTCACTTCTTAATATCTATCCATCTTCTTCGTTTATCTTCTACGTCGATGTATTTCTGCTTTCTCATCTTCTTCCTTTTACCTTTTCTAGTTATATCCTTTCTCACATCTCGTCGCGTTTTCTTATTATCCCTCTTGCCTAATCTTACCTCGGTCTCCAGCAATTCTCGTCATTTCACTTTTCGTTCGACATTGTCCGCCTCTTCTCCCGCGCGGGTGTTTTTTATCCTTTTGTGTCACGCTCTCTCGTCAAACCGGCGCGACGTCCCTCTGAAACGCGCGGTTAAATCGCCCTCCCTCATCTCTTACTATCTCTCTCGCTACCCCTTCAACTTTAATTCGATGAATCTTCTGTTTACTTGTGCTTCTGGTTCCGGCAGAGATTTCCGCTGGCTTTTGTTGCTTACCGGTCGGTCGCCAAGATCAGAATACGCGACGATCCGTCGCAGTTTTACTGCTCCCATTTTCTCGCTTCTACTATTCTTTTCTTCCTTCTTTCTTTTTCCAGCATCCCTGTGCACCCTGGCTTCCTTTGCAATCCTCACCCCGAGTAGCTACGGTTATACGTGCACGCTGCCACTGGTTATGAAATGTAACTTTTAGCGTGGCTTTCTCCGGCGATACACTCGATGGAGAGCTTAAATAACGGGGAAGGTTTTACTTGGGCAACGATCACGTTTAGGTTTTAGTGCCGGGAAACGTTTCGTTTCGGGTTTCGGTCGCTTTCGTCGAACCACGACCAATACGTGATACAGAACGCAATAAAAGCAACGCTCAAACTAGGGGCGATATAATTCTACTCTCTTCACTGTATCCATATTCCATCCCTTTAACTAAACTATATTTATTCTATCTGATGCAAATCCCACGCTCCCTTTGGTTCTATGATTCAAATTTGTCTGCTACATTCGTAGATCCTTTTTGTAATTGCAAAAGTGATAAACAAACATTTTACAGATATAATGTTTATTATTTTATCATCGACCATATTTAGTTAAATAAATACCACTACCGTAAAAAGTCAAGCGAAACATTATTAAAAAGGAATACCACGGAAAATCGGCCAGATGTCTAACTACATCTCTATTTATCCATTTTCCACGCCTTATCAAGATAGCATTATTACAATCTCGGATACCTTTGTTTCTGTCATTCGTGTCGCTTGGGAAACCTTTCTAGTCTGTTCTTCTCGCGATAAATACATCGTCGTGCAACGGTTGCGCGAATTAATGGTGCCGGGACCACGTTGAATAGCGTCGGCCACGAAAATACAGGGAATAGAAAATGAAAAGGTTTTTAGAACCGGGGCCGAGCAACCCGGGCCGAGCTTTTTCGTCCCATAATCACCCCCGTTCCGCGCTCTGTTCTTTACACCACGGAATTCTCGGTCCGAAACCCCGGCCTCCTTCCGGCAAATTCCACGTCCTCATAGCTAAGAGATACCGCGAAACAATGCGATCGAGATAGGATTACCCTTCTCTGACTTCCCTTTGTTTTGAACACCCGATTAAATCGTGAGTATTGTTCACTCCACAAAACACATTCGAAACCAGAGAACGTCTCAATATCTCGACGAAATATACTATGGCTTACAAGAATCGGTACTCTCTCGAGTTCTGAACAAGATGTCCATGGACTTTAGACAAATGTGATAAATGTACAAAGGACAGTATTAGATTTATAGTTAGAAAATTCTTTTCTTCGAAATTCATTTTCAGTTCATTGAGAGATTATCACCGCGTTCTGAACTACTTAGCGTTTTATTAAAATTGTCCTAACAATTTAGAAACGGTAATGTACGTTTCCCTGATTTTAAGTGAATTCACCGTTGTCAAGCAGACGATGGAACAACGAATAGACTTACCGTAACTTTAAATGGCTTTCAAAACTCTCTACCTGACTGCGAATTACTTTCTGCTTTAAATGGTGAACAAAAGGCTCCCTCGGAGCCACCATCGTTTCGTACCCCTTTGTTGCTTTCTTTTCTCCTCCAGTTTCGTACTTCTTTCTCCGGTTTTCTTCCAGAGTTATACGTTGTAAGATCAAACGTTTGATAAGATGTACCTATCCGGGGAACGTACTTAAATCGTTATGCCCTTTACCGGTACAATTTAGAAAAACCGTTTCTTTTTCTATGTAATAGCCTTGCACGTTATTCTCTGCGATCCTTTCTTGCGTTCCTGTTCTTTATAATCTAAGAAGAATCCTGATAGGATTTCAAAATTATCTACAATTCTCCGTCTTAAAAATCCTTAATTTTTCCAATCCTTCCTAAACCATTCTGCGTCTCTACATCAAACCTTCATCTCAGTTAGAAAAATAAGATCCGTGTTCGATCACTCCACAGTAAATGGATTCCTGTTCATTGAATCGGACGAAACCGCGTTTAAAGCGTGATGGGCAACGTTAATTATTTTTATCGGGCAATTACGGTCGACACGCGCGCAAACCGAATTGTTTACGGAAATGTTACCCTGTTTATATTTGAATCGAGATTCAGTGATTGCGAATAGACGATTTTTTCCGCTTCTCGTTTCTGAGGTGTGAGCGCGTGAATCATCGAATAAATCTCGATCACCGAGCGCGCATGCAATCAATCGAGTCAAATCGTTGTCCACAATGACGAATAAGTAGTCCACTAGGAACAATGGATTTGACAGCGCGAATGATAAACAGCGCTCGTATCGTTGCTACGAATCGGCCGATATTGTGCGCCGACATGATTTAGGGTCGACGACGATTCTTACTGGGGTGTCACGATCGAAACACAACGCAAACCCTGGCCGAACACGGACCGTTTCGTTTCTCTTGGACAAACATACAATCTCTGTCAGAAACGACCATCGCGAGGGAAGCAGAATTTTTATTTTAAAATAATCTTACTCGCTACGTGTACTGAAATTTAAAGTAAAAATGATATACAATTTAGAGACATGATACAATTAAAAAAAAATTAAAACGCTGTTTTTTTCAACCGGTTGATGTTCGTTAATTGCAACAATTTTCATCAGCTCGCATCACTGTGAATATTCTTGGGAATCCGGATCAAATTAGCTAAACCGTAGCGTGAAAATTGACTCTGTAACATGTAACGTCGTTAACGTTTTTCCATTTTAACAGGCATGGAGTCATTTCGATCCGAGCCGTCCAATGAATATGCAATGCGTCGACGTTCTGATTCGTGCTCGTATTAATATTGAAAGCACGCGTACGAACTGACCGATCGCGTACTTAAACCATTTAAGAAAAAAAGAATAATCAGCCACACGCGCATATCACTGTCTCACAAATGTTATAGGTAATACATTCGGCTACTTGAAACGCCTTACAATTGGAAGTTCCCCGTAATCACTGAGAACAGAGAGAGTAACCCTCCGAGTGGAAAATTTTAAACTTTAACTACATCGACAAATTGTTAGAGGATACACATTCCTATCCGGCTACGTGCCTCGTCTACCCTTTTGTTCAACCTGCAGAACCGCTTCGCACACGCTCGAAGTGCTTTCAGAAACACTCTTTTCATGAAAAGGTTCCCTCGACTGTCAACCGAATAACACTATTCCGTGATCGCGTCCTCTTCGTAAGGCGAGACTTACTTTTCATCTGAAAATCTTCCGGCCATTCAGTAGCAACACACTAACCTGTATTCAATCCGCAAATTTCGATAGACCATTCTATCCTTTCACGCGGGCTACGAAATCCATAGGTAAATACCATTGGAACAAAAAAAAAGAAAGAAAAGAATGTAAATACATCCCGCAGGGTATCAAATACTGGTCGAACAGATTAATAAAATTTTTTTTCTATTTTTCGTATACCTCTCTGGTGGCTCTATACATTTGCAAATTCGTGTTGCGATTTCCCATAAAAAAAGATACTGGTAGGCAATAGAAGCCGGATTTCGAATGCGCACTAATAAATTATGAGCTAAATTGTAAAAAAGAAGATTAAAGCAGGAATAGCTTTAATAGTGAAAAGAAAACTAATTTAAAGAAATAATTTATGTCAACATTAATAAACTATCATACCGTTTTGCGTTTGTCAGTTAATCTATTCTTCAATTTTTCCAAGTCATACAATTATGCAAAAGAACACCGGATAAGTCCGTCTTTAAAATAGTCAAGGAAAATGAAGGATTAACCGCTTTTCTTTTGCAGCAATCCTCGACGTTCGGTGATAGTGATCACGTTGAATATTAGCCAGGAAACGAAACGAGTGAGTAGGATTGGCCGACATCCAGGACTGTTTGCGCGAATGTTAATTACGCCTTGGACAAGTTACACCTTCAGCGCAAACAACGACAGAATATTTCACGCCCACGCGGCATGAGACACTATCCCTTCCGTGACTCGCATTTCCGATACGATATCATAATTACGTGTAGGTACAACACGTTTTTCTTTAGTGAACTCTGATGACAGATTTCACTCCTCCTTGTGGCGTGCTTGCAGTAAACACATGCTCTTCACTCTTCGTGTAACCCGTGTGTATCTACGCACGAAGACGAAGACGAATGAGTTGGTACAATCGACTGCTTCCTGGAGATATGGAGTTAACATTGAATTTCCATGTCTCTTCACCAAAACTCAAACACATTATTAATATGCATCCTGCGAAAACAGAGTTTTTGCAAATTGCGTTTTTTATCTATAAAAGTAATTAAAAAGGAAGATGTATTGAGTTTAAATCGACTTAAATTCACTAAGCAAACGTTTTACAAATAAAACAATTATGATGCATCTATTTGCTAATGTTCGAAAGTCTTGTCCGCCAGTGTACACATTTACATTCCGCGACCACTATCTCACACGCATGCAACAGAACCGAAAAGAATGAGTTAAACGAGATAGCGATTCTGTTTGCTTGATTCCCGGGTCGAAGTTCAGTGCGCCTTGGCGGGACCGTGGTGTATACATAATTACACTACGTATCTGTATGAATTCTTCGTATGAAGGGCGAACAAAGAGGATAGCGGACTTTGTGTGGCCTTGACTTGACCACCGTGAAACAGTCTTTTTCTTCTTGAAGACGCATAATTGCATGAAACGTTCAGTTTTCCCCAAGGGAGAAAAGTCCTCCCACTCATACCGGCTCCGTTACGTTTATCCGAAGATAGGCTTCTAATCTTCGGTCGCGATAACGAGTACCACGATTACATTTTCTGCCGCGATTCCGTCGTGTAATGAGTAGCAGTGTGTCGTTGTCCACCGTGACGACCGCTCCGCCTCGTTACCCGAGATCCAAATTTTAAGTTCCTATTCTCTCCTATCATATTTCTTTTCTTTCTGACCCCAACACACTCTGTTACCAATCCTGACCGATATAATCGAGCACTCCTTGCAGTAGGACGTCACTCAAAAGCAATTTTTCGCGAGTTATAAAATTTTTCACTCGAAGAAGCTGGATGACTTCGATCGGTAATTAATTGAGTCCACAGTTGTTTTCTTCAACCTCGCGTTTCCCGCGGAATAAGAAGAACGGGATCGGTCGAGCAGACGATTGATTCGTTCAATTAAAGGAGAATCTTAATTGTGTCGCGCCTGTGGAAGAACGCGAGCGAAAGAAAAGCAGCAAAGGAAAAGAAGAGTTCAAGAGGCAATCATGTACGCGAAGCTGTTACTATTGAGGTCCACTAAAGTTGGATGTTTTCCAAGGAGATTGACTTCGTCCTCAACGGGCCTGAGGATTCCCCAGCAAACAGTAAGTGTAATTTTTTCTATTTTTCCGTCTTCATTTTCATCGCCAACTCGGTTGATCGAATTTTCTTTGTGCTTCACGTCACCGATTCAATTTCTAAAGTACTCAGCTACTTATCGTTCTCCTGTTTTTTGTTTGTAATCGAACGTTGCCACAAGAATCGACGCTCGATAGTGAAATGAATAAAATAAACTCGAGGAGAATACCACATTGATTAATCAATACAGGTATAGTTGATTCAACGAAATTCGAAGCAATGTGAGTAATACGAGTTACCATTTGACCAAAATGGCAATATGCATCGTTCTCAATATTGTCTCTTCTATGAAGGGTGAAAGAAGGAAGAAAGTAACATATAGAATAGTATAATAGTTTTTCACAGCTGCTTCAAATCTAATTAGAGTTAGTTGTCGGTTAGTGAGAGACATATAGATGCGTAAGACAGTTTTGGTGTTAAATGCATAACCATGATTTGGTAACGAAAGTTTCCACTGCTCTGTATCACCGTAAGCAACGATTTTCGCGGCGACGAGATAATACCGCAATGTTATTTACTTCGTAGAGACCCGCGAAAACGGGAGAATATATTATAACGCCGCGTAATTCCATATAATATACATTTACATATGCATGCATACATATGTAGGTATGTATAACGTCTAGCAACAGATAGCAGGGAAATCCACGAAACGCGCTTTTAAATGCAAAACGCATTGTTCGATTCCCGAAGATCGCTAGTTTAATTGGCTGCACCGCAATAAATGTAACGACAACGTTATCACGAATACATAATACTGGCTGATATCGCGAACGTACAGGACCGCGTAATCACCGAATTATAAATATCGCTCACTTTTCTGCTCGTTATTTGTCTTTAACTAACCTATCGGTATTTATTGTGTAATATTTTTGTGTTCCGCGGATCCGAAATTTTTTGCAAAAACTCGAAAATTGATTTATCGACCAAATCAATCTGATGTTAAACGTAAAATACCGTGCTCGTTTTTATGTATTTAAAGAAAAATTCAAATGAAATACATGGCAGCCCAAGTATACAGCCAACGTATACAGATTGAAATAAGTTTCTATCTAAATTTTGGTCTACTAATTAGACGAATGCTTCTCGAGAGAAGCGTGAACAACCTCATTCTCACTTGTTTTCATTTTTGTACAAGCATGGTCACCGATAAGAATGTTGCTTTATCAAATAGTAACTGAATTACGATCCACGTGATCGATACCACAAGAGTATCATCGATTACTCGCGATTTCTCCGCATTTCGAGGGAATTAATTTTCCCTGTATACAGCTTCCATGTCAGCAGGAAAACCGATACCCTCAGCAACGATCCGTTCAGATCAACAGGTTTCGAGGCGGATGATGGGATTTTGGACGAAATCCGATGGCGTAACGTCCCAATCCCATCGACCCGCAATCCTCCCAATCGAAACCCGTGAAATCACACGGTCTTAGACTTTTTCTCGTCGACGTTAGTTAGAAATCGATTGTGTACGTTCCATATGTATGTACGTAACTGGAAATCAACGGCACGTCGGGATGCTTAGATAAGAGTGACGACTAACGATACGATTCCTCGCGCAATCGGTAAACTTTAGCTTGCGAAACAAGACAGAATTTGCGTCGAATATAGAATCGACACGGAATGTCATTAAGAGGAAATAAGATCTGTCGTAAATTATTAGATCTCGAGAAATTCGCGTAACCTTAAAAACACGCAGCGAGAGTTAGAAGCGAATATGCAACATCTGATAAAACGTTCCCTACTAATATTCATAAAAACCAATAACATGAAGAAGAAATCAATCTGAGATGTAATACAAAAAAATATGCATTAACGAAGAAAAGAAAACTGTGTTTGATAGAAAAGTCAGAGAAACTTATCTGTGTACTTTATTTTTTGGAACGGAATACCTTAATTAATAAAACTGACATATCCCTCGAAAGATTAATGATATTCCGAAATTGTAAATCAAAATGGTATTTGACGGTTTGGCAACGGTTTGACAGAAAAAGCACGACGATGTATCGAAACAAGAGGGAACTGTCGTTGGTGCACCAATTGTTTTGATTTCGAATGAATATTCATTCGACACGATTCCGTCAACAGAGATTAATGAAAACGGTGTTAAATCAGAAACGAAATTACGTATCCACTGGTGTATTTTTTTCTCTCGTTTATTCTCTCTTCTTGCGAAGCGATTCACGTATTCACATGCGCGATAACGCATAAACAAATCTGTAATTTTATATAACAGATAAATCAACTGGAGAGACGTTACACGTTGAAAAAATGTCGAGTGGCAATCGAAGAACGGGAGAATTGACAGAAAGGAATTTTTTTTTTCGTTTTCGATTCGAGTACTGTTGCAATGAAAGATAGCAGACTACACGATTATAGATTACGGATGATTCGAAAAATCATTAAGTGCTTCGTGAATTTCGTATGTGGATGCCGCGTGGAAACTAAAATTTATCTGACGCGACGCGAAATTAACTTCGTAGTAGAGACATGCTTCAAGTAAATGTTTTATAAATTTTACTGTTTGTCATTATGAACGATATAATGTAATTTACATATGTACGTAATTCCGAAAAAATTACAAAGTCAAAAAGTAACAATTCAAATGCACTTTTCGATATTTCGAAATTGTACTATCGTTCGCAAATATTCAATCACTTAAAGAAGCACATAAACTAAAACGCAAGTTGATAGATCATGTAGAATACAATAAATAAGCTAATAGATTATTTGAAGGAACATTATATCATCACGATCCTGCATCTTTAGTATAGTTCTAAAGTAAATATGATGAACTAGTTAGAAAACAGGTATACATGCACCGATCAACAAAGATTAATATTAGAAAAATTTGAAAATATCATTGATCGTTAATCAATCGATTTTCTCAAGGGGAATCGAGCGGACTTGCGTAAAGAAATGCAGACGGCAGAAGCTCCCAAGAAGCCGGCGATGTTCACCGATCGCAGCCAGTTGAACTACACGAGACGTTTGGTGGTAAAATTGGGTAGCGCAGTTATTACTCGGGAGGACGAGCACGGTCTGGCACTAGGACGGTTGGCGTCGATCGTCGAGCAGGTAGCTGAATGTCAAAACGGAGGTCGCGAATGTATCATGGTGACCAGCGGGGCAGTTGCATTCGGCAAACAAAAACTAGCACAGGAATTGTTGATGTCATTGTCGATGAGAGAAACGCTCAGTCCTGGCGGTCACATGCGAAAACGATCAGGTACTGGCGATGGCAGGCACGTTACTTCCGATTGTTTTCATTCATGAATGAAGCAGAGTGAGCATATTAGAGGCGCAGATTTAAATTCTAAAAATAGATTCATGTCTTTTTTGCAATCACTATATTTAGATTTTACGTGATTATCCATATAAAAACTGCCACACTTCATTAAGTACTTTTTCAATATGAAAAGTGAGAAATCAGTTTTTTCACTTGCTGTAAAAAGCGTAAGGAAAGATACTTTAGCGCTTTTTATATTGAATTTGTTTTCTACTGCATATTCTGGTATTGAAAAATATCCCTCCTTTTTATTGTTTTTATCCTATTTTCGTTCAATATTTCGCTTCGTCGAATACGTAAATTAAACGTATCAATTCTAAAATCTAATGACTGTACGGTAAAAAGTCCTAATTAAAAAATTCCTAAGTAAGAAATCCCGGAAACTTCGGTTTCCGATTCGTATTACAATGCAGAGATAAGATATCCTCCCTTCGATGAGAACGTGGTAATACTCTACGACTCAAATATACGGCAGTAATTCCAAATCCCGCAGTCCCTATGGTTTCACTGCGAAATTTCATTCCGAGAATATTACCGGCTAACTGCAAATTGGAGTACATGCATGCGCGATCCGGCCACGGTGCTTTCCGCATCTCCATGATCCCTTCGTTTCTTTATGTATCGCAAACTTAATGAAGGTCGAGGAACGGGGACGAAAATTTGTCACGACACGGTGGTATTCACCGGCGGACCGAGCACGGCACATTAATTAATCATAATTACACGCAGTCCTTTAGTAAGCGAGTGACCACGTAGGAAGAATAATGTCTATTCGCGTTTTAATCGTCTGCGGTTGAATCGATCGAACGAATAATCTCTACGAGTTATGACGATTAAATTACCCGAATATAAATCCGTTCCTCATCCTCCTACGTGGAAACGTACAATCTGTCTAGCATGTCAAGAATTTGCGGGATCTTTCTCTGAGCGAGCATAGTCGTGCCAATTAAGCCTGAAAACAATCACGCGATTCTTGCACATATAATCATCGTACCGTTGTTGTTTAAAACGAAATACGGACAAGTTCAAGCATCCAGGATTCTGTTGCGAAAATGACAAAGGGATGTTAAATGAATTGCATTATTCTCGGACAATCTTGTTTTCCATCCAGAGAACAAACGATCTGTTTGTAATATGTGGAATTATATTTATCTATATTGTATTTGACTTCTACATCAGTAAGGTTTGGCGAATTTCGAAATGAATTCATACAAGGTGTCCTAAACCTACTTCCGGGAATTCGGGAACTCTTCTAGTACTCGACAAATGTCCGGTCCTTCCATGTAGGTTAAACTAACAAACGAGCAGCCCAATTCTTTTACCGACTATTCTTTCGTGATTTTGTTTGCTCGAGAAAACACTCACGATTATTTTCTTTCAAAGACCGAAGCGTCAATAGAATACCGTCGAATCGTTGAGACATACATTCTTTTGTTCCTTATTTTAAGTCCATGAACGTTGACTTTTTCTGAGATCCCGTAGCGCTTTCCGACACGAATGAATATCAGAAACACCTTACGCCCATTTAACAGAATATCCAATCGCCTCCTTATGATCCGCAAGATCGCGAGCATTAGTTTGACCACACATCTGAGTGGTCAACTGATTTTGGAATGACTCCAATAAGAGTATGAGAGAAAACAAGCGAAAACCATTTCCCCTACATGTTCAGTGCATACCACGTGCGATCCGTTGACCGCACATCCAACCCCAACAACGGTGGAGTGTAATTTCGACGCGATGTTCATGCAGGCACCTCTTTGGAACCGAGAGCAGCGGCAGCCGTTGGCCAGTCAGGTCTAATGTCTCTGTACGACGCGATGTTCGCCCAATACGGCGTGAAACTAGCCCAAGTGTTGGTTACCAAACCGGATTTCTACAACGAGGAGACTCGCAATAATCTATTTAGTACTTTGAGCGAGTTACTCAGCCTAAACATTGTCCCCATAATAAACACAAACGACGCGGTCTCGCCTCCGCCCCAGGTGGACGAGGAAGTGGCTGGTGGCGGCGGGAAAAAAGGAATTTCCATCAAGGACAATGATTCGCTTGCGGCCATGTTAGCTGCCGAGATCCAAGCAGATTTATTGATTTTAATGAGCGACGTAGACGGGATCTACAATCTACCTCCATGGCAGGACGGCGCTAAAATGTTACACACGTTCAGCATGGACCTGAGGGACACGATTAAGTTTGGACAGAAGTCGAAAGTGGGCACTGGAGGCATGGACGCAAAGGTTCACGCGGCTCTCTGGGCTCTCGATCGAGGTGTATCTGTTGTGATATGCAACGGTACTCAAGAGAAGGCGATCAAAAATATTCTGTCAGGGCGAAAGATAGGCACGTTCTTCACACAAACCACAGAGACGTCTACGCCTGTCGAAGTCATCGCCGAGGATGGTAAACATCTTTTATTAATAAATTATCGTACAATGATTCACGATTAATCAAATTAATACAATGGTTGAATAATTAAACTAGAGTAATAGAATAATTAAATTAGACTAGAGTAATATCACTTTACTGAATGGCTTTAGTGGACGTTAATTATATGTAAGATTGCGAGCGGTTCTTAAGCGATTTTGCTGTTAATATGGGAAAGCACTCACGAGATCGTAGACGAAAAGATCACTGTGTTCTCGCATAATAGTTTTTTTCTCAGAGAAATCGGTCAGTCGCGTCATTTTGTTCTACCGACAATAGCGATATATGGGTCATCGATTATCGAAGGTAGACGCGAAACGGCTTACGGGCCGCTGTATCGTAACCATTGTACATACAATTATCCGCGACACGTATCGGTGTATAGAATAAAAACTAGGAGAATCCTCGCATTATTCGAAGAACGAAGAGAAGGAATTGGATTTATAAGCCGAACAACCTTTCAGTGTGGCTATCCATTGAGAAAAATAAGTGAAAAGAAAAGTAGTTGGAATATTCTCGTAACTCGAGAACTTCTCTGAGAGAAAATACCCTTCACATTCTCGTTTTTACTTTCGGTAATTTTTATCGGCGTCGGATTCCATTAAAACTTATTTAATACATCCACCGCCGCTCCTTCAGTTGAATGGCCTGCGAGGAGCGGTTCCACACTGTTTTCTTATGCGATCAATCAATTCAAATATTTACAATCTCTTTTTTGTGCTTTGATATTAATTTATCGTTGAACTTATCAGACAGAAATTAATTCTTGATGTAAAGGAGGCAAAAATATTATGAAACAAAACTTTTATAGAGGAAGTAGTAAGTCTAGAAATCAAAGAGTTTATTCAAAATGTCAGTATGGTTTTATTAAAAGAAGAGTCAATTGAACCGTGTCGAGTATTTAACACCCGGTCTTCGTCATTAGTCTACGACCTCAGGCGCCAACCCTACTTAAACCGAAACTGCTTCCAAAACAATATCCAACGTCAAGTTGTCGCAGCAATATCGCTTAGAACCACTTGAAACCGAAAAGAGCTCTCTCAAGCTCAAAAAATAATGACTTTCAGCTCGAGTTGGTAGCCGCACTCTTCAAGCGCTTCAACCAGAGGAACGCGCGAGCTGCATCAATACGTTGGCTGAGCTCCTCGACTCCCGTCAAAGGGAAATTCTCCAGGCGAACACGAGGGACCTCGACGTCGCGGAGAAAAACGGTCTAGCGAAAGCTTTGCTCTCCCGTCTCTCTTTGACGCCTGCTAAACTGAAATCTCTGAGCTCCGGTTTAAGGCAGATAGCCAGCGATTCGTTGACAAACGTGGGCCGGGTACTGAGGAGAACAAAATTGGCCGAGGGTTTAGAGTTAAAACAGATCACCGTCCCCATAGGCGTGTTGCTCGTTATCTTCGAGTCAAGACCAGACTGTCTGCCCCAAGTAGCCGCGTTGGCCATATCCAGTGCCAACGGGCTTCTTCTCAAGGGTGGTAAGGAGGCCGCCCATAGTAACCGATACTTGATGGAATTGGTAAAGGAAGCGTTAAGCAGCGTGGGTGCCTCAAAAGCGATATCCCTTATTTCAACGAGGGAGGACGTTGGCGATCTGTTATCCATGGGCAAGCACATTGACTTAGTGATACCTAGAGGCAGCTCTGATCTCGTTCGATCGATCCAGGAACAATCGAAGCATATCCCTGTGCTGGGACACGCGGAAGGAATCTGTCATGTGTACGTGGACACGGACGCGGATCTGTTGATGGCTCTGAAAATCATTAGAGACTCGAAATGCGATTATCCGGCAGCTTGCAATGCCATGGAGACGCTCCTCATTCACGAGAGTCACATGAAGGGCAGCTTCTTTAATGAGGTGTGCAATATGCTTCAGAAGGAAGGAGTAAGTGAATCAAACTCTTAATTTCTATCAAAATTCATGTTAAAAATGTGAATAGTATGCTGACCCATTACTATTCGTGAATTATATTCATGAATGTACCACAGTCTTAACGAAGTTAAGTATTCTTTTACAATTATATTTATCTGTGCCGTGTTGTAGGTAAAAGTGAATTCTGGTCCAAAGCTAAGGAAATTACTAACATTTGGACCACCGGCCGCGAAAAGCATGAAGACTGAGTATAGCGGTCTTGAGTGTGCGATCGAAGTCGTGTCGGACGTCGATGACGCGATAAACCACATTCACAAATACGGCAGTGGACACACGGACGTCATCGTTACGGAGAACAATGAGAAGGCCACGTATTTCCAAAGAGAGGTTGATAGCGCGTGCGTTTTCCATAATGCTAGCACGCGATTCTCGGACGGATATAGATTCGGGCTTGGAGCAGAGGTGATTCTTCTGAACACGTTTCATAGAAAGTGCTGTAAATTATAATCTTATGTTATATCGATTGCACTTTCTATTTTAAAAGGTCGGAATTTCCACGGCACGAATCCACGCGCGTGGACCAGTAGGAGTGGATGGGCTGTTAACTACGAAATGGGTATTGCATGGCGATGGTCACGCAGCCGCCGATTTCGCAGATGGAGGTGACAAGGTTTTCGTCCATCAATCGTTGCCGACCAACGAATCCGCATGAATCGAACCTAGACAATCTGAACATATAGAGATTTTCACCACGGCGACATGGAGGATTTCATATCGAAGGCAGTCACCGGAAAAGAATCATCGTGACATTCTTCTTGATTCATTTACAATATTGAGGACAACATGTATGAGGCTTGTCTCCTTCTTTCTATCACTCATAGCGAAGTGTTCGAAAATGTTTAAAGATTTGATCAAGTAAACTTTCTTTGATTAATTCCTAATATTCGTTAGATCAATTTTAAATCGATAGTTTATTTTTATATCAACAAGCGCTGTGGGATAGGTAGTTTATAAGTATTACACTTTTCATGTAAAAAGTTTGATTCTGTTTTAAATTAAGCATTACTGATAAGAGTTATTGACTTGAATGAATTCTGTTTGTGCATATTGTTTGTCATATCATACTCCTTGTGTTCTTTGATAAGCCAAAGATCATTAGAATTTTTAAAATAAAAGAGCAATGTACCATGTACATGAATATTAATTTAAAAATATAGAAATATATCGGATGAATTTGTATTTGCAACAGACATTTTATTAAAACACAATACTTTGTTCGCATGAAAGGATAATTACGATGAGATGCGTACGAAAAAGGAAAAGAGGAACCAATCAGAATATCCTTAAGAACTCGTTTGTAATATAAAATGAATTCCTATCGGTGAAATGGCTATTCACTTGGTTGCTCAAAAAACTTATCGGGAAGTTTGTTAATAAAGTGAAGGCATAGAGGCAGAGGCGGCTTTCCTGTTCACAGTTACGTCGGTCGTTTCGAAAGTTAAGTCGTCCGGTTATATTCAGAAGTTCTCGCTGAACCATCTACTCGAGAACTTGCGCTTATCCTTTTAACTTATTCGAATCGCAAATAAGCAAGGTACCAATTAAGGAAGTTGTCTATCTGGTCTGCAAACTCCTCGAGCTTAAATATTTCGTTTACAAAACGCAACAGCGCATATTTATGTTTAATCCACTTTTCTAAACTTACTTATCGATATTTTTTAAAATTAGTTGCATAACTCGAATTGCAAAATTCCACTTTTTTCTATCACGATAGTCCAATTTCCTGGTATGGAATAGAAATTAAAAATAAAAGCATTAAACACAAAAACTTAAAAAAGCTGCAGATGCTTTTATTTCGAGCGCACGCAATTACGTTCGTCACAAAATGACGCAAAACGTTAATCAGATAGTATATAAAATTCTATATAAGTGCAAAGTTCAAATGAGTGGCAGTTGCGCGAACAATACAATATAGTTCAAAGGCACATAAATCTCTGTCACTGTTATCGCTATCTCCCGAATATTTCTCATCAAGAATGACAGAATGCTTCGATTATTACGCAGCTTATTATGTAAATACATTGTTCAGCAGTTCTTTTCCCTATTTTATTGATGTCAAACTATAATAAAACAGTTACGTTCATAATAAAATAAGTATAATAAAGTTTCTATAAACAAAATGTTAGTAACAGTGTATGTATCATAACAGTACGCGATAATGTTTGAAAGAGCAAATAATAAAGAATATACGTTTATTATTCTTTTTATGGTACAAAAATTCTACAGTTCTTTGTGTATGCATCATTCATAAGCTTCTTATGTACTATATTCAATTCTATTGAATATCGTTATACATTTTCCGGTGCCCATAGTTTAAACGTTCGATCATAAGACGTGGTACCGATGAATTTGTGATCGGGTGAAATGTCGACAGACATTACTTTGCCATCATGCCCTGGTAACGTCTTAAGGGGTTGCCAAGTTTTGTTCGACCATATTTTGGCAGTATTGTCGTACGAGGCCGTGACCAGGTACTGACCTTCTATCCTTTGGTATTTCACGTCCGACAATAAGTTCGTGTGAGCGGGTATAGTGTAAATGCAAGACCTCTTACGCAAGTCCCATATCTTGCAAGTGTTATCCTCACTTGCTGTAGCTATATGGAAACCATTCGGTGAGAAGTCGATGCCAAAAATCGATTTCAAGTGGCCTTCCATAAACATAATGCATCGACCTGTACGTAGGTCCCAAACTCGGCCGAAGGAGTCGTGACCACCTGTGGCGCTTACGCTACCGTCACACTGAAAACTATATATCTTTTTGCTACAATTGTTTTAGGATCACTCGCCGATTTATACCTGCCGTCACAAGTCCATAATACGCAAAGATCAGTTTTCAGTCGCTATCCACATCTCTCTCCTTCTCTCTAAAGCCGCGTATTCATCTGAGCACGAATGCGAACGAGGCAAGGCGAGGCCGAACGAGCATACATATGTGGACGTGTAACCGAGGCGCGGCAAACTGCATTCGGCTGTTCGCCGCACAGACTGAGGCATTCGGGACCCGAGCCGATCGGAGTCGGTACTTCAAAGAAAAATTTGGTTACGTATGGACGGCATTCGTGTACGTTCCACGTACCTTGCCTATCTCGCTGGATTACCGTTCACTGCGTTCGTTGTGGATCACTGTCTCGTTCGTTGCCTCGGCAGACTTCGTTCGCGAAGAAAAATTTTACAAACGAGGCAAAACGAGGCATTTGTTCGGACTCGCCTTGCCTCGTTCGCATTCGTGCTCAGATGAATACGCGGCTTAATGCTTTTCATATTTTCGCCAATACTGGGATCTACGTATTCGGTTACCCCACTACCTCCAAACTGCGCGAAACTGATATGGACTCTCGTGACAGCAGGAATCGACACCTTGTTTCTGGCTAACACGATTGAGCATAAGTATGCGATTAATTTTGCTGATGCCATTACCTTTCAATTCAATACAATCGCATTTTTTCTCGATAAAATTCATTTTTCACTTACCTAATACAGTGTACAGCTCTGGCATGTCCCTCTTGGTGTAAAACTTCTGCTTGCTGTTCCAAATCCCAAAGCCTCCAAGATGCATCATAACAGCATGTTCCAAGCAATCGACCAGATGGATGAAAGGCCAGTCTCGAGACTCTATGTGGCTCATGACCTTCAACCTCGGCCAAAGGTTCCTCACCAGATCCACCGCTCCATAATTTCACCGTTCCTGTATACATGAAACATTTCACTATTGTGCATCGCAAGTTATTGATGATAAGAAGAAAGACGTCATATATGTACCATCGGAAGCACAGGATGCCAGTACACATGTTTGCCCAGTTTTCTCTCCTACCACTTCTTCGGTAATCGTAGCTTTTGGATGAAAAACAATGCAGCTAACATTACAAGTGTGTCCTTTAAGTGTTCTTAACAGTGTACAGTCAGGTACAGACCATAGTTTACATAAGCCTGACCATGAAGCTGTCGCGAGCAGTTTCGAGTTCGGGCTGAACTGACAGAACGAGATCGGCCTAGTATCGCCAATTTGCGAACAATAGATTGTCAACGCTTGCAACTTTTTCAGAAGTTCCTGACGACGGGCCGTGCGCGTGGCTGTAGGCAGTTCCAAATCTTGCCTCGCCTTATCCAATCTAGCTTTTGCTCTGGGCAACGAATATGCTGTACAAATAACAATCATGATGTTTAGAAATGTATCTCTAAGAATTATAATAAACAAACTGCCACAAATCTTAGGAAGATCTATCTTATGCTTACTGGCTATCCAAGACCGAGCTATTTGAAGAGATTCAGGCCCTTCATGGTACCATGTTGTTTCTGTATCCCTTTCAATTGGATGCAAAGGTTTTTCTTCTTCCTCGTGTTTCTTTTTAATTGCATCTTCGCCTAAATTGGCCAATAATTCTCTTAATCTTGTCCTCCTATCTGCTGGTCCTTCACCAAACAAACAAATAGGTTCCCCTAATTGTCTCAAGTTCTTTTTTACTTCTGAATCATCTGTAGACACATTAATCTGCCGAGCTTTTTTTCTACGTTCAAATTCTTCTAAGAGAGCTTGTCTATCTTTGGACATTTCATCCTCCAATTCCATGTATTCATTAGATATATGAATATTTCCCAAAGTTGTTGTTGAATTAATGCTGTCACCCAAATTTGTTCCATCTTTCTCTTCTTCAGAGGACTCCGCAACAGCAGCCAATCTAGCACGCTCAACTTCCTCAAGCGATCCATAATGAACAGTTTTCAATTTCTTGACGTACGTCAAATCCTCATCATCCGACATTATACAGTAATTTTTTATTAAGCGATATACTGTAATAACAAGTATAAGATGATCCCATAATCAATGAGTGATAACATAACCCATAAAATCAAGATGAAAATACTATATTACTAACTGGAATTACATAAAGTAATATCTTACATGAATTAAAAAAGACCCTCAATCTTTGGGACTGTATAAGACGAGCTTTTAGAAACCTTTTTAACAAAGTTCAGTCATGAAATGAATAAATACGTTTCATTATCACGAAACATAATTTAACGATCAGTTGTCGAGTACGGGAAGTACGGTATACGATGTGTACCAGGTGTACGAGACGCGATCGCACTATACCTAATACCAGTAGCAGCATTCTCTCTTTAGGATTGTGTCCGATCACGTGGTATGCCGCCATGTTCTCAGTTGTTGTAGCGCGCTAAGTTCAAATTAAGGAAAGAAAGCTCTATAGAAACTGATTGTCTTATTATATTAGAAATATAACTGTAATAATTGTTATATAAAATATAATCATTGTACATTTTTAAGGGTGTACACATTCGACTGTAGGGTGCACAATTTGTGGGCACAAACAGAGCTGTTTTCCCTTTCCGCTTTCTGTCTAACAGTAGAGATAGAGGGGGAAGTCTCCGCCAATTATTCTAAACGGCGCGAAATCGCGTGCGTACGCGAGAGAGAAAGGTAGTACCTAAACCAACATCTCTCTCTCTCTCTCTCTCTC